AAACTCCATCCGTTTCTAATTGATTCCATAAATTCCGAATTAAAGTCAGACGATTAGCGGAAGTCATTAATTCTTCCAATGAAAAGGAGCAAAGAATTAAATTATGTCTGTCTCGAAGCTGACGCTCTTTATAGTAATCGTAACGACCTCGCCAACTCACAGTTGACTTCCAGCCTCCTGAAGTGCAATTCTGATTCAATTTTTAAGACTGGTGGTACCGGAGGTCAGAAATTCTCCAATTTTCGCTAAATAGAGGGAACTTTCAACAGCGACAATAGAGGAGAAGTCTGGTAATTGACTTTCCGTGTCTGGATCAAGCGCGGTCTGCTTGGAGAAGGGGAACCAAACGTCACGAGCCGCTCTGCGATTTCAGTAGGGGGAAGTTCTTCATATTTAATTGTCCAACTTACAGGATACCTGAGCCTTCCTGAGCTCCATATTGGAGTAACCGAGTCGGCTTAAACTTCGGCGCCCGTTTTTTTATCTCTGATAATATACGGTAATGAATCGCATAATGACGAGCGGCAAAAACAGCACAAAACGCGATAGAGGTCTCGGGATAGAAGTCTGGCTTCTGAAGGCGCCCGAACTGAAAGAACACTCTCAGGATGGAACTCTTACTGCACAACTCACTAACGCTTCTTTATGACCATCTGGGTATGCGGGTTGCGACCTCAGTCTTTCTCCAGATTCTGCTGGAGACTCTGAAAGAAAAATCCTATTGTTCAAGTTTTGAAGTGGAACTACCTCCCGCATTCTCAAGTGCGTTTATCGAATCGGTTCGTTTTTTTCCCTCTAACGCCTCATCCCGAAAATGGATGTCTTTGAGGCGATCAAATCTATCAAGATCCTCAGTGGGGATCAATCCTGAGAAACCCTCAGAAATGGAGTGTGACAAGATTAGCTCACTGCTTGCAAGGACAGTAGGACTTTCAATGGAATTCAAAATCTCATTTCGGTTGGAAAGTTGATTGCCGAGACGTTCTAACGCGTGTTTGTGACCAAATCTCCTTATCATCAACGTAAGTCGTTGTCTTAAATAGTCAGGTGCCTGAACGGAGATAAGAGTGAAGGAAACAGACGATGATGTCCCACATAGAAAGTCTTCAGAGAAACTTGTGCAACTCGTTCTTGCTTGATGACATCCAGATGCGATGAAGGACGATTGGTGGTTTTAACTTTCTCAAGCACATCGAACTCGAACGCCGAGGCCCATCTGATGAATTTCGTTGCTTGCTTCGTTTCGGTTCTGAACTGATAAATCTTCTGCATATGCGTTTAATTGTGCTTGTTCGAAACAAAAGTGTCAAACTGTGCTTCATCAACCAGTGAAGTGGTGTGCCATGTCACAGAACAAACCTCCGCTAACTGTTAAGAGATCAGGAATTGTCCACATTAACGCAGTTTGAGCAACTTCATAGGGCAACAAATGAAAGAAGAAGACTCAGGTGCAACTCGTCCTATTCTACAAATCAAATTGGCTCAGAAGTATTACTTTCAAGGTAGTAGAAAAAAAAAACCATGCAGATACAAATTTTTTTTTGAATCGGCAGGTGATCAAATCAACGGGGAAGTCTTATTAGAAGTACCTGCTGCAGTTTCTGGGGTGGGATGCTTGGAACTAAAGAGTTGGGCTGAGGAAAGGTGTAAATGGGTGGAAGCAAATGGACCAAAGGGGTTGGTGGCCTCTTTCTTGACATTCTTCACATTAACATTCTCGTAGGAAGAAGGGAGGTCAAAGCAACGATGCGTACAGGTATCAGCTTCAGAGACTTCCTGTAGCAAATTCTTCACATCAGCACAACCTTCCATGGGGGGAAGGATATCTACCGATCAATCGTCTCACTCCGAGATTTTGAAGATGGCAATTTAAATCAAGGTACTCCCGTGATAAAAAGATGTCTCTCAACAAATAATTACAGGATTATATCTGGTTCCCTTCGCATATTTTCTACCTTTCAAAGTGGCATCCTCAACCACGTTTAAGGGACGACAGTAGGTGATCCAGAAGCTAGATAATTGCACAATTGGTTGATATAGATTTGAAGTGTCCGTTCGCCATTTGCTCCAAGCGCGCTTGGTTCCTCAAGCAGAGATTGATGTAAAGGATGAGCCTTCAAAGAAGGCACCAACACCAAAGACGAGCAAAGTTGATGCGTTTGATGTCATCGACCAGCCCGATAGAGAACACCATTTCATCAATACCGTAACCTCTGAAGTGGTATGGTCAACGAGAGATCCCATTGGTGAACTGTTCCTCTCAGATAGTCCTAGAGAAGCCAGGGTACCAAGCGACGTTGAAACCATATTCCTGGCAATGCACATACACAATTCCTCACGCCTTATTAGGATCTGGAGAGTAAGCTGGTGAAAGAGCTTCCAATTTGATGGTGCGTCTTTCAGCCTCACCATGACCATCAAGAAGCGCACTGACCCCCGTCTTCCTGGGGAAGGTGAGAAGTCCCCTCTGTCCTTAATATCTGTTGTTCAACTTTAGAAATTCCATTATGGATTGAGTTCCAGAATCGAAGTCAAACTATCGTCACAGATGTTGTTGCAACGCTTCGTCACACCGTGTCTGCACGCTCACACGGTGGAACCTTCAAACAGGTGACGTACAATCACACGCAGTGGAAGAAACCAAGTGAGGCATTTTGATAACCGGTGGTTGAAAGTTGTTGTCCATGATCAGCATCATTGAGGGGGTCCAAGAAGACGACTCAATCCACCCTCCTGTAAGCACGGTCTGCCGTTTCTGGGAGTAGCACTGTTTTACAGGTCGTTTCCGTTGCGGCTTCCCCAGGGATTAGCAGCCACTTCTCATGGCTCATCCATAACATCGGATTGGGAAGTCAACATTGCATGCCGGTATCGTGGCAAATGGACATTCTATCATTTCACTACGGATTCCGATGTTACATTTCCATTGACACTGTGGACTCCCGAAGAAGTATTTGGTGATCCCAATGATTTGAAGATGATGTGGGATTCAGACGATTCGAAGCCCGACGAAGAACCAAATAATCATCAGAATGGTGTCAACAATAACGCACAGCATCTCCTGCAATCATCTCTTGTACCTCCAGGTTAGATTTTCATGATTAGATTCTCATAATGGATTTCATCGATTTGTCTTCCACAGGTGTCCGAGTTGAAGAATGGCCCACTGTTCCGTTTGAAGTGTCCCCAGACGGAGGAAAGCCTGCATTGAAGGATGTTGTGAGATTGCCCAAAACCGAGGCGACTGTTGCACCCGCACCTACTGAGCCGGCTTACCAAGCACGTAGTACAACGTGCCGTTCAGATTTAGGACTGGCTATGAGCACCGGTGTGTAGTGATTATTCGTGATTAGACCAAGTCGCTCTGATTTGTAGGCCTTGAGAAGCGACTTGAAGTTGTGCACCAAAAGCCTGTGCAGCCCAGAAGACAGTCACATGTGGCATCCCTTCAACGAAGGAAGGTTGTTCCACTTCAAAAATAAAATAGTGCACTACACAATCAGGAAAAAAAAATGAAAAACTACATTCGTGAAAAATGGAATCGTCACTTTCGGTAAAATTGAGCGACTGCCTTATTGGTACAGTCGAGAAAAACAAGGGTCTAAAAGAAGAAATGGAATGAACATAACGAGAATGAAATAGAGTCTTACAATCATGACATGTGGAGCAACACGGAAATAGTAAGTCAGGTAGCCCGCATAAAATGCCGTCGGCCCCCCCGCACGGAAGGTTTTTGATGCACAATCGACCATGTTCTTATACGGCAATTCCCCCGTGATTGGATCTGCCTTCATCTTTTGAATACGAGTTTTGATGAAATCAAAGGGTAATGAGAACGTGACCGCGAACCATCCAGAAATAGCACTTGCACTGCGACACTCGATGAGCTGCTGCTACACAACTCTCGTCTTACGTTAAAGTTGCTCCCCATCCAGGACCAAACCGCTTCTCTAGCATCTCTTTCGATTGATCGAAAGACGCAAGCATCCCCATATTTAACGCCATTGCGCGAGCGACTGTTGGGGTGCAGCCCTGGGAGAAAAGAAGATCCATTCGTAGCATGGTGACTTCAAGCTCACTCGCCACCATCCACATATGCCTTCTTCCTTCGCGATGCGGGTCAATGCATCGACCGCTCCCTTGTAATTGCGGCGCGCCTCGGGAGGAAGCGTGGCGTCTGCTTGTAGACGGATCTGACGAACAGCGATAGGTCACAGTTTACTGCACTGATTTGTTCTTACGAGGGACAAATCGGCGGGATTCCCGACTACTGAACTGCAGAGGAAAGACCATAACCGCGTTAAGTGTCAGCTGACTTACGCTAGGCCCCCGGCAGCAAGACCAGCGAAAGCTTTTTTGTGCAAAGGCACAGATTCCTCTGTTATAAGAACACTCAAGATAAAACTCTCAGAGAGAACACTAACCGCCTGGTTTCTTCATTGCATCAGTAATGACCCGAAACAAGCCCATCCTTGCTGTTGTGTAGGTGATCTGCCGGATAAGACCGGCGTCAAGCCTTAACGCACAGAGGAATTTTTCAAGTGGGACGCTAAACAACTTGCTCACCCCTTGTACAGTGAAAAAAATCCCTCATTCTTGATAATTCCACCCGCAATTGCGAAAGGACCACGAACAGCGGCAGCTCCTCCCTCACCAGCAAGTTGGATACGGACTTTGACCATGTCTACTGGTTGAATCTGGAATAAAAAAAAACAGCTTGAAGGCAACAATCGCAGGAAAACGTCAACCTACAATTGTAGTTGCCACACATCCTGCGAGACCTCCCAAAGCAAACGGTTGAACGGCCTTTAGCCAAGCTGGGCGACCATCAGACGTCATTCTTGATCAAAATGAAAGACGATCGTGCCTTTGCAAATTGTCTCATGTCCCGGGCTGATTCCCAAAATCCAGTAAACCTTTTACCGAAAATTGATGGCGGACAGCCCCAACATCATAGAAGATCTTCCGACTGATGATCGCGATGATTTTATCAAAGACTTCTTTCCAGCGACGACCGACGAATTTGTAGCAAAGTGTGGAGAAGTCAAGGCGTTATGTGCTTCTGACTTTGATGATGTTCATCGTCGGCGTCATTTAGATTCTTTTAAGAAGTCATGGCAGGGTAAGGAGAATGGAGGGGATGGTTCACGTTATGAATCTTCACAGAGTGGGCGACATACGATTCAACTGAACGGAATGTCCCAGATGAGACAGTTCTCGAGTTTGTCTCCCGTCTTATCACCATTGCACCGACAACGCAGAAGGAATTCGATGATGCCCAGAGGCGTTTGCGAAGGGAGTTCAAAATTGCTGTCTCTAAAAGCGTGATGCTTGCGGCATACGAGCAATTGACATCTGGAAATGATATGTCGACATCTCTAGACCAGTTTTTAGTGAAGAAGGTAGTTCGAACCCACTCAGGTAAGGAACGCGTTCTAATGATGAACAATAAAATAGACATTCTTGACTCAGCTTGCCTTTTTGATTAGGTGTTGTCGTTGTTACTGTACTAACAAGCCCCGGGTCATTCAGCTGCCCTAAAGACTGCCATTATTGCCCCAATGAACCAGGGCAGCCGCGCAGCTATCTTTCCACAGAGCCGGCTGTCCTTCGTGCAAATCAAAATGGTTGGGACGCTGCGCTTCAATTTTGGGATCGGGCGTCCACTCTAGACAATAATGGACACACAATTGACAAAATCGAAGTTCTTGTTTTGGGTGGCACTTGGAGCGGGTAAGCCATTGCGAGAGAATCAGATTGCTCTTTAGTCGCACCTATTTGCAGCTATCCACGGTCATATCAAGAGGAGTTTATCCGAGATTTGTTTTACGCTGCAAACACTTATCAAGATTTCTCAGTTGCGGGGCGCAAGACAAAGCAACAGAAGCCAGGAGCAGGGGGGCACCCTCTTCCGGAAACACCAGAAGGTTTGAGACCACGATTGACTTTAGAAGAAGAGCAGCATATTAATGAGGGAGCTCAATGCCGCATCATCGGACTCACACTGGAAACCCGTCCTGACCACATCAGTAGAGGAGAGTTACGTCGTCTAAGAAGGTTCGGTTGCACCCGCGTCCAAATAGGAATTCAACATACTGACGATGCGATTTTGGACAAAATCAATAGAGGGTGCACACAAGAGGACGCAGTTAGAGCTATTCGTCTTCTGAAGGATGGATGTTTCAAGGTAAAATATCATTGGAAGATCCATTGCATTGTACGTATTGTCAGGTTGATATTCATTTAATGCCAGATCTCCCAGGAAGCTCGCCTCAATTAGATAAACAAATGTTTGAATTTGTGCTCTCATCCCCTCTGTTACAAGTGGATCAGTGGAAAATCTATCCTTGCGAAGTGACCCCATTTTCTGAAATCGAGCGGTGGTACAAAGAGGGAAAATTTGTTCCTTATGCCGAGCGATTTGACGGTCAGGAATTGATTCAGTTATTAGTGAAGGTTAAATCTGCTGTTCATCCCTGGATCCGTTTGAATCGGGTGGTTAGGGATATTCCAAATCCGTCGATAATTGCTGGAAACGATCGAACAAATTTGAGGTGAACCTGTGATCAAGAGTACCTCCTTTAGCTCCTTGGGTGCTTGCTCCTCGCAGACAAGTCTTGCTGTCGTGCATGTCCAAGAGAAACCTGGCTTGTCGTTGCCTACGGTGCCGAGAAGTGAAGACTGAGCTTATCGACCCAAGGTCAGCATCGCGTAGTGGCATCGTGACCCTTTGTTTTTCACTTAGTGTTGGGCAGTTGAAGGTGCGCCGCTATGACACATTTGGTGGGGAGGAGTATTTTATTTCGTATGAGACAGAAGATGAGAAAAAGCTCTTCGGATTTCTTCGTCTTCGGCTGCGTCACACTGATTTGGAAGCGACAACCAATCCTGACCCAAAGTTGGATTTGGAGAAAACATTTCCAGAACTCATTGGATGCGGATTAATCAGGGAGTTGCATGTTTATGGGCAGCTCGTTGGGTCTCGTGAACAACGCATCGTGAATGACACCAGGTGGGTCTCATCCATCTCGCTGTGAATCGGAGTAATGTGTGTTTAGGTCGCAACATACTGGATTTGGAAGGCGCCTTATTGCAGCTGCAGAAATAATATCCCTAGCGCGCGGTTTACAACGGGTGGCAGTCATTGCAGGAATCGGAACTCGGGACTACTATAGAAAGTTTGGTTATGCAGTGGAAGGACACTTCATGACCAAAGGTGTAACAAAGGAGGCTGTCAAGGATTGGATAACTCAGCTGAATGTGCAGCTACCAATAGAGATTCAATTATATAACACAGAAACCGATCTGGGACTACTGGATTGTGGTGTCGATACAGCGGTCTCTAATGAGGTCCAAATGGAGGTTCAAACGAGAACCGAAGGTCGCAAGAATAGACGCGATCAGCATCGAGCAGTAAAACCAGATATTTTAACTCCATTTGGGACAAACTGCTCTCCCCAAGTGAAGAGCCATTCTGATGGTGTTGCTTTCGCATTTTTGGATCGAGTTCTACAAGGGAGATCGCATTTCTTTATACTTGAGTCCCGTTTTGCACAAACTGTTTTCGCTTTAGGGGTTTTGGCTTTCACTGCTCTCTGGTACTCTCGTCGTCGAGCTTTGTGACAAACTCCGCAATATCAACAATTCGTATAATAAAATTAAAGGAAGATCCAAAAAGCGTCAAAAAATAACACATTGTCACATCACAACTTTTCCAGGTTCCATTATCGAACTATTAATGTTTTTATGCGGTAAGATAAACGATTGATTGATTAGACACTCCCTCGTTATCGCAACATTCTCACCAACGACAGTCAAGCCTTCTAGCCGAACCTAAAGGGCAACAATTGGCACCCTTGACCAGTTTTAGACCTACCCATCGTGAGATTGATGACTGCCAGCCAACAATTGATCCATTAATATAAGAGTTGCTTTCCACTTTGACTCCATCCATAATTGCAGAATCAGAAATTCTAACACCGTCGCCAATAACACAATCTGATCCTATCGTGACATTTGGACCAATCAGGCAGCCGTTCCCAATCTTGGAGCTTGGATGGATCAAAACGTGGCCAAGTATCCCATCTCCTACAGCAAGTTTGAAATCGTCGTCTTTGGAAGACCCTTTTGAGAGAGACGCAAGAAAGAGTTCTGTTCCGCGTAAAAAGTCTTTTGGTTGCCCAATATCTGCCCAGTAGCCATCTAACTGAAACCCGAAAAGAACGCCCTCAGCAGCCATGGATGGAAAAACCTCCTTTTCGATTGACGTTGGACGGAGCTGAAGGCATAGCTCTGTGGCAATTACAAAACCGAGCAACTCACCGCTATCCTACTGATAACAGACTTATTAAGGATATAGAGGCCAGCATTGATTTGATCGCCGACAAAGTCTTTGGGTTTTTCTGATCAAAAAAAAGATTCAACCGCATCCAATATGAATAAGAGCTCACCAACGAACTCTTTGATCTTTCCGAGTTCATCCGAGACGACAACTCCGAACTTGGACGGATCGTCAACTTTAGTGATGAGGATTGTTCCCTCTGCGCGGCGTTCACGATGAAAAGCAAGCATTTCAGGGAGCGGAAAATCGCAGATAACATCGCTGCAATTGAAAATTTGCCTAAGAACCGAAACGAAGTGACCAACCTGTTGCAAACGAAGAACGGATCGTCAGAGTCATCCTGATCATCAGTAAGAAGATCCTTAGCGAGCCTGATGGGACCCGCGGTACCGAGTGGCTCTTCTTCACGTGAGCAAGAAATTCGGATCCTAAACTACCAAGAAAAACTGACAAATGAAAATAGCGACACCTACTAGCCTGTCGCCTACCTTGCGTTCAAGCTCTCCGAGCGCCTCCATCATGGCTTGGGGTTGGTAGGCAACCGCTAGAATCACATGGTCAACACCCGCCTAGCAAACCGCACCTAATGTTCACCCTCTATCGTCTCCTACCTTCACCAATGCTGATATTTGATGTTCTACTATCGACTTATTACAAAAATGGATAAGAGGCTTCGGCACGGAAAGGGTTAATGGACGAAGACGTGTTCCGTACCCTCCAACAAGGATGAGGGCCTTCATCGTAGTGGACCTGGCAGGCACTTTGAACCTTCTAGAAAATCCTGGCATGCAGAATATCTCGCAATATTGCAGGACTGCAGACACCGCTCAGCCCCAGTTCTATCACTCCTTTGGAGCTTAGATCCAGTACACAGTGGGCCGCCATATTGCAAGGTGTCCCTGCGATAAACTTGAAAAATTCGTTGTGTTGACTCCAGTCAACCTCGTTCAACCTTTTCCAACATCGCTTAGATGTCAAATGCAACTTACCATCAATCCAGATCTTACATCGTCGGGCGTCGTCTTAAGCAACCCATACCTTATTCCTCGTCTTTGAGAATCCAGCAGAATTATAATTGTGATCGTACAGCGTTCACTACACCTTAGTTCTCGTCATTCTCATTCCATTGGCTTTTTGCCTGTCAAAGCCAGGCAGCACAATATTCACTTCGTTTTATTTTCCTTATTTTCGCTTATTTGCTGTGCTGCATCTATTCAATTATTTTTGCTATTCGCTGCCAGACATCAAACTGTTGCAATTTCTATTGTGTTCAGCCACTTTAGCCGACTTTTTATTTCTTTGTGTTGGATTTCCGTTTTTGGTCCCTCTCATTTCTCCATTGTCTGCCTGTCTGTATTTGATCTTTTCTATCTGTACCGATCCAATCATTCGTTTCTTAAATAATGAGCGCCTTCGCTGCCCGTGCGGCGACATTGTCGCATCCAAGCAGTCCGGTGGGATGTATTCCAGTGGCGGACGATAACGAGCATGCCATCGCAAGTTCCGAAGATGACAGCATCGTAGAATTGTGGCTCTCTCAAATTTCTCCTCCTGGACTAAAGGAGATCGATCAGGACGATCCAGTCGACGAACATGAAAGTGACACGCTAAGCAGCAGTAGCCATAGTAGCGATGAAAATGACGGACGGGTCATTATGGCGCTGGGGGATCTACTTGCTGCGGATGATCTGGGAAATATAGCAGCATCGCGGCATGCTTTGAACCATCTGTCTGTTGTTGACGAAGTTGACCGCCACGAGTTGGAGTATATCAGAGCGATTGTAGAGGAAGATGCGTCATTAGACGAGGCTTCTAGCTGTGGTGGCGAAGATGATGAGGATCCAATGATGCAGCAGTGGTGAGTTTCCAACGTTGGATGCGTTCTGCAGTTGTTTTGTTTCTTTAGCATTCTGGAATCCATGGCTTCGGCTAAACAGGATAAAGAACAACAAGAACGCAACCTCCAAAGTTTTGGCAATCAGGTTTCCGCTGGAATGTCGTTCAATTGGGCGGACGTCGAGTTGGATGAAGATGAGAAAGACGCGGTTGATGGTGATGCGCCGCGGTTGGAAGGGTGCGATTCAGTCCCTTCGTCAGATGCAAGAAACGTCAAAGATAAAAGTGATTTCTTCGAATGTCCATGGACAGCATGGTGAGTATTGTTGGAGTCATAGCGGATCATCTTTCCCTGTTTGGTCTTCAGGTACGACCCCCCAAAAGGTCGCACCGCTCGGATGGGAATCGCCAGCGAAGCCTATGAGAAGGAACTCTTTGAAATGGGTAAGCGGATTAATGATGGTGTGATTTTTTGCACGGACCTCTATAGGAGAAATTCGTTGCCCCGAGCACTTTTGGACTGTTCACGAGAATGTTGACTGGAGCAATATGCCCTCTGGATCGATGGTCTCATTCTCTCGCCTCGAAGCGAAACCGTTTTGGGAAGATCCGGCTCACTGCCACGGTGGTCGCTGGATTATACGTGGATTTTTGAGGAACCAAAGTGAAGTAAGTTGCGCATTGCTTCCCTTACAACTCACTTGTTGCGTTTTTAGACCCTCTTCACTAAAATTGCGCTTTCCCTGTTTTTGGGCCATTTCCCTGATTCTTGCGAATTTGTAGGTTGATGCATATTTCCTTCCTTCGATTTGATTGCTTTTCCCATCAGACTTGCGTGACCTTGCAAGTCAAAGAAAAGCGTCGACCAAACACTATCCAGTTGTGGACCAGAACTGTAGATTACTCACATCTTGAAGAGCTTCAGGAGCACATCCTCTTCCTGGCGGAGGGGACCCAGTCCGAAGACGTTAGCCGACGGAGCAGCCGGAAAGGGAGGGGTCGCCCGTCCCCTTCCAAGTCACTTTACTTCGAGTTCTGCCCCAACTCAGAGTCGATTGAGCGTAACGCCGTTAAATTGGGGGATCTCACGGTGCCAGCGGGGTCTTTGCGGCGCCCCAAACGCAAGAATAGATCAGCATTAGTCTCGATGGCCTCTCGTTGCGATGAGGTATCGAAAATGTACTCTGCAGGACGTTGTAGGGAGAAAGGAGGTCAAGCCTCCAAAAAAGGAAGCACCAATCGCAAAGTTGACTGGAGTGACGCCCTCACATCAATGGGATATCGAAAACGTCGTGGTTCAAGAAATTGTGAAGATGGTGCATCAACAAACATACAGCGGCGCCGTTCTTCTTTGAGTGGAACGCCAACAGGTGTTCTCTCTTCTCTTACTGAATTCTCCCCAGAAAAAGCGCGGCAGGATTTGTCCAAGTCGAGAGCCGAGGCCGCAGCTTCGTCAATAGAATTGATTTCCAGCGAACGAAGACCGACCGTCAAAAAGGTTACAGAAAATTGGAGGACCCCTCGAACACAGAACAAAGTTCGCTCGAAGGCGACTCTTGACAGCACAGGAAGCCTTCCCTCTAATGGGGCTGAAGAACTCCAGGGCAGTTGGCGCGACGGGAATAGAGTGTGCTATACAACATCGCCTTTCATCGGATCCCAAGACGTCGATGGTCTGGATGACGAGGAGCCGTTGTTCGTCGAATTCGACCCACGCTTGGTGGGGCTCTCAACTTGGGGTTCAACCTATGAAAGGGGTGGCAAGAACGACCAGATGTGGGGCCCAGACGCAACACGAAGCGACTGGAGTGATCCTTATTGTTCATACCAGGAGGGGTACTATTACTATCCAGAGTGTGCCAACAGCAGTATTGCACCCAGCAGTGGAACCTTCGATCCTCATGGTTGTTGGTACCCGCCTAGCTCCGATCCGGTAGATAAAGGGAAGGGCAAAGATTGTCACTCAAGATCAGAGTTGCGAACTGTTGCTTCTGCGACAACCATTGGAACAACTGGAGGCTTCCCTTCTGAATGCCCATCGCAGAATTCGATCTTTTCTCAAAACGACTTGGATAATTCAACAACCTGCTCTTTATCAGCACTTCATGGTCAGAACGGCGTTCCAGACGACGCAAGCGACGCTCAGTGCTGCGACAACACCGAGAACTATCATTCCCAATTTTGGAACCCTGAGTACCCTTTGTCTGAGTACGGATATTGCTACTCTCCAGAGGTTTTCTATCCGTATGGCACCGAAGGCTGTCCTAGTACTCAACAAATGTATTATTATCCACAGCACTCATCTGAAATTAGTCGTCTTGCAGATGAAGTGACTGATGAAACGAAGGGGATACCATAATTACGCGGATAATTGCTGTCCGAATTTTTTCTCGATCCTCAATGTTTATGTGTTCTTTCGGATTCAGCAAGGTTTTTTAGATTCTCGTTGGGTGGTTTCAGATTTGTCCAATTTTCGCTGTTTTTATGGAATTCTGTTTTATCTCTTCAACTACACTTGCACAAGAAAGCTTAAGCATGACATATTTGTATTGTAGGAGACCAGCGACGCGCAAAGTTCGCAGCTTGATAGCCGAAAATGACACTTAAACACAAAGATGCCGCCAGAGCGCCTGAAGATGAAACATGCTGCCGCCTTCACATCAATCAGCTGTTACTTCGTGGCTTGGAAAATACAGCAGAAGTCTTTCGGATAGGACTAGGTTTCCCGCTAAATCCTTTGATTCTTGCTACGAAGGGTCCAACATTGTCACCGGCTTCCACTAGAATCTGTGCAGAGCAACTCAATGCGGCAACAAGATTGCCCCACCTTGTGAGTGTCATCGCAATAGGGAAATTTTTTCGACTGCCAACAGCGGCATATTCTAACCGTCTTATCCCCCGTGTGCGGTGCAACTTCAATCAACTGGAAAAAGGACCAACTCTCCCTAGAATGCTTGCTGTTGGCTCACGTGGGACACTGGGGCAAAATTCTTTGTATTAATATTGACTTGGTCAACGTAGTCCAGCGGGTCGCCCATCTCCAGACTCGCCACTTCAGGCCGAAGGAACGCTGAGACGCATGCGATTCCACACTTCCCGATATTTCCTCCGCTTGCCACATGCACACCCACGTACCTTGAACCCCACTGGGATTCAGTGCATGCCAATGCTTATAAAATTTTTTCTTCTTATTATCATTTCCATAGCAGCCTCCGTGAGGGGACTCCCTAAAGTGAGCCGGACAGAACTCCAGTCAGCGCTCAATGACAGTACGGAGACGATCGTTTATTTTTACGCTGATTGGTACGTGTGTGGTGGTCAACTATGGCGGCAGTTGTTCAATCTTCTAGGTGCCGAGCGTGTGAATCTTTTGGCCCGATCGTTGATGCGGTGTCCCTTGAGTATTCTAAACCTGAAGTACTTCAGTTTCTCAAGTTCGATGGGGGAACCGATCGAAAATTTGCTGCTCCAATTATTGAAGACTCATTCCCCGGGATCGCATTACTACGAGGAAGCCATCTAGTCAGCCATATGAAAGGAATCAAGACGGTCCGTTTTGACCTTCTGTTAACACCTCAACCTTTTGCTATCAGAGAGAGAACTTGAAAATTTGGATTGAACAGATGACTGGCGATCCGGTGGAATTGGTTGAAACTCGGGTCAGTGTTGGATTTTGCCCGGTTTCCATTGGTCTTCATTTGTTAGGAAGAAGCAGAAAGGCGTTCCAAGAGATTTCCTGTAGCGTTTATTTCGACAGTTCCATCCATCTTGTCGACTGCCTATAACGTAACAGTTGCAGCTGCTGCAGATCATAGAGAATGGGCGAAGTGGCTTGTCGTCGTCGATTCTTCTATAACGGACGGTCATATCAGTGTGAAGCATCCATATGAGAAAGAGAAAACTG